CTTCCCTGTGTTGACAGAGTGGCTTTGTGTGGTAGGTGTCCCACTGGGCCCAGTGGCTCAGCCTCCCCAATCACCTGAGATGGACACTCTTGGTGCACCCCTCCATGGGCTGGGTGTGCAGTCCTGTTGTAGTTAAGCCTTAAATGCTGTTGGTATCCCTGGGAGGAAATGACCTCCAGGCCAATTGACTACAAGGACCCGCTGTGTCTATAGTGGAAGAACTGCTGTGCTGGAGACACCCTTATGGGGCAGGATTTGCTTCAGTGGGGCTTTGGTGCTCACTGAGTCTGCCTCTTGAGTGTGTCACTTATGGATGTGAGGAGTTGAAATCTGGTATCTGACCACTGGGTACACTGGCTTCTGGATCTCCAAGGAGGTGCAAATTCAAACCACTGTGTGAGTCCGCCCAACAGGAGCTATGGCAAGATCTGCAGATTTCTCCTCTTTGTTTGGGGTTTGGAAATTTTGGAGCTCTCTGACCCAGCTGCAGTTTGTTAGGTTAAGCTGCAAAAGGGCAGGTGATTCATTTGCGCCGCTGTGCACAGCTCGGGTGGGGCGGGGTCTCAGAGAATCACCCGGGCGGAGCAAACAGTGATGGCTGTCGTCAGCCATCTCCGTGACTCCACCCACGTCCCCAAGCCTGTTACCCCACAGTAACAATGATCCCTGTGAGCAGTTCTGTAAGAAAGCCACCCTCGCTTTCCGACCCAATGCCAGACAGTCTGGTTTCTCCCTGTAGGAGTCTGGGTCCCTAGAGACTCGCTGGAAACGAGGTCAGAACAGTCAGGAGCTGGTATCTCCCTTCCTGCACACCCAGGAGCAGCCCGGTCGCGCATCATTAAGATCCTTGAAGGTCTCACTAAGTTCCTCAGAGATTTGTAGAAGATTCTTGAGTAACCTTATAACTGTGGCTTTGAACTCCAAACTCAGTAATCTGCTTTCCTCCATTTGTGACATGTTTCTTCATCTCTGCATCTTGGCCACTTCCCTGTGTTGACAGAGTGGCTTTGTGTGGTAGGTGTCCCACTGGGCCCAGTGGCTCAGCCTCCCCAATCACCTGAGGTGGACACTCTTGGTGCACCCCTCCGTGGGCTGGGTGCACAGTCCTGCCATAGTCAAGACTTGATTGTAGTTGGTATCACCGGGAGGAATCGACCTCCAGGCCAATTGGCTGTGAGAATCAGCTGTGTCTATGGTGGGAGAACTTCTGTGCTGGAGACACCCTTATGGGGCAAGACTTGCTTCAGTGGGGCTTTGGTGCTCACTGAGTCTGCCTCTTGAGTGTGTCACTTATGGATGTGAGGAGTTGAAATCTGGTATCTGACCACTGGGTACACTGGCTTCTGGATCTCCAAGGAGGTGCAAATTCAACCACTTCCTGAGGCCATCCAGCAGGAGCTACAGTGAGATCTGCAGATTTCTCCTCTTTGTTTGGGGTTTGGAAATTTTGGAGCTTTCTGACCCAGCTGCAGTTTGTTAGGTTAGGCTGAGAAAGGACAGGCCATTCATATGCAAAAGCCGTTGTGCACAGCTGTAAATTGGGTAGGGAAGGGTCTCAGGGAATTACCAGGGCAGAGCAAACAGTGATGGCTGCCAGTCAGCCATCTCTGCGTCTCCGCTTCCCCATGTCCTGTGCCCCCACGCAGTAACAATGATCCCTGCAAGCACCTCTGCAAGAAAGCCACCCTCGCTTTCTGACCCGATGCCAGAAAGTCCAGTTTCTCCCCGTAGGAGTCTGGGTCCCCAGAGTCTCGCTGGAAATTGGGTGGGGCAGGGTCTCAGAGAATCACCGGGGCAAAGCAAACAGTGATGGCTGTTGTCAGCAGTCTCCGCGACTCCACGCATCTCCACATCTCACTGTCTTCGTCTCAGTGTCTCCGCGTCCCCGAGTCCCATTACCCCACAGTAACAATGATCCCTGTGAGCAGTTCTGTAAGAAAGCCACCCTCGCTTTCCGACCCAATGCCAGACAGTCTGGTTTCTCCCTGTAGGAGTCTGGGTCCCTAGAGACTTGCTGGAAACGAGGTCAGTACAGTCAGGAGCTGGTATCTCCCTTCCCACACACCCAGGAGCAGCCCGGTTCGCGCACCTCCATACCTCTGCTCTTGGCGCCTCTGCACCTCCTACCCAGCCTCAATGCGCTTTTTCCCTTCTAGTTGTAGAACTTCCACTCAGCCAGCTTTCCCATGGTTCTGGATGATCACTTTTTTGTCTTTCCGTTGTAGTTTTAATGTGGTTGTGGGGAGCGGCACGTACAGGTATATACCCTATGCCACCATCTTGGTTGTTCCTCAAGTTTATTTTTTAAATTGTGACATCCTGACTAAAGAAAGTGGATCCTGGACCTATAAAATATAAGGAGAAGAAACCCATGGGACAGGGGAGAAACAAAATCAGTACATTTATTCTTTCTAAGGTGGTTGTAACAAACAAAATCATTGCTCACTAAGAAAGCCACCCTCGCTTTCCGACCCAATGCCAGACAGTCTGGTTTCTCCCTGTAGGAGTCTGGGTCCCTAGAGACTTGCTGGAAACGAGGTCAGTACAGTCAGGAGCTGGTATCTCCCTTCCCACACACCCAGGAGCAGCCCGGTTCGCGCACCTCCATACCTCTGCTCTTGGCGCCTCTGCACCTCCTACCCAGCCTCAATGCGCTTTTTCCCTTCTAGTTGTAGAACTTCCACTCAGCCAGCTTTCCCATGGTTCTGGATGATCACTTTTTTGTCTTTCCGTTGTAGTTTTAATGTGGTTGTGGGGAGCGGCACGTACAGGTATATACCCTATGCCACCATCTTGGTTGTTCCTCAAGTTTATTTTTTAAATTGTGACATCCTGACTAAAGAAAGTGGATCCTGGACCTATAAAATATAAGGAGAAGAAACCCATGGGACAGGGGAGAAACAAAATCAGTACATTTATTCTTTCTAAGGTGGTTGTAACAAACAAAATCATTGCTCACATCTATATATATAAAAGGCTACTATGCAAAGTGTCCCTTCAGTTCAACCACTTGCTATGATGTGCGCTGACCACAAGGGGGCGGCGAGGAGGGAAGGAAGGCCCCAGCGGGCAGCCAGAAGGCCCCAATCGGCCCTGATCACTGGCCAGGCCTAGGGACCCTACCTGTGCACGAATTTCATGCACCAGGCCTCTAGTGAATAAAGAATACCAGAGATAATATGTAGGGCTGAGTTTTGGCTATGTACATCTAAATGGCAAAAATAACAATTCAAGTTGGTCTTATATAGGAGATGTAAGAAAATAATTGTTGCCTTCAATTCAATTTTAAATTTGTGGAATGACGTAATACATTTTTTGAGGTACCTATTCCAGGATCTGCTAAAATTATTTATACTGCTATTTCCATATTTAATAAAATGTTTATCTACTCTGGGTAGCTATTAAGATAGTATCAATAAAGGCCACTAAAATGATGCCAGAATTCAGGTGAGAGAGTGGTGAAAATGGGAGGAGGATGGGAGGATAATGACATTGGGTAGTAATAACAAACATAATTTTGAAGGTTTCCTAACTAATGCCACAAAATTATATATTTTGGCTAAATGCCACTGGACAGCTGGAAGTGATCAGGAAATGAGTGGAATATCCTAATCGTCCCAGTTAGATTCCTCACTAACCTGTTATTTGGATGGCTAGCTCATGATGGATGGTTTACACAGACTGCTGGGTGAAAGGACACTTCACAATAAAATCCTGTTTTCTAAGTAAAGGAACCTAAATTAATGTCTGTGCGAGGCTTACTACATATTCTGCTTTGTTTCTTCCAAGAACACTTTTGAAGAACCCCTTAGAAAAGCAGCAAAACAAAGAACTTTTTAGACTACAAAGAGATTAACCAAGACATAATCAGTAAATAGTTTAATCATGGATATGTTATCCGTCTTCTCTCTAAAGACAGGGAATATGGGCCAATGGCAAAAAAAAATGTAGCTCTGAATGAGTGGAATATCCTAATCGTCCCAGTTAGATTCCTCACTAACCTGTTATTTGGATGGCTAGCTCATGATGGATGGTTTACACAGACTGCTGGGTGAAAGGACACTTCACAATAAAATCCTGTTTTCTAAGTAAAGGAACCTAAATTAATGTCTGTGCGAGGCTTACTACATATTCTGCTTTGTTTCTTCCAAGAACACTTTTGAAGAACCCCTTAGAAAAGCAGCAAAACAAAGAACTTTTTAGACTACAAAGAGAACCAAGACATACATAATCAGTAAATAGTTTAATCATGGATATGTTATCCGTCTTCTCTCTAAAGACAGGGAATATGGGCCAATGGCAAAAAAAAATGTAGCTCTGCTACTCAAATTCTAAATTTTTCTCTTTCAATTAGAAATTTTAAAAGAAATTTCAGCTTTAAAATGGACCTCATCTTTCACCTCAAATTACCTACATATGATGTCGTTTAAGACACACACAAGAATTTCGGGATTATTTTAATAGAAGACATTAATTTAGGTTCCTTTACTTAGAAAACAGGATTTTATTGTGAGGTGTCTTTTAAGAGATTTAAGTGCTCTAGGTACTGCCATGAGAATTTATACTCAAAGCAAATATTATCTAAGATACCAAGGCATTCAGTTTATTTGGATCTTATACTTAAACATATTAAAACTTACAAAGCCTAAGATAAGGAAGCAACAAGTCAATAAGATCACAACTTAAAATTCTTACATTTTCACATGGTATCAGTGACTATGAAATGCAAAAAATCTTATAAATGTTTAAGTGGGATGATCTCTAAAAACGACACTAGTGTGACCAAACAAATGACCACATACTATGGAAGACTACAGCACATGAATAAGTGCGGAAAGCTGTTCTCCAGAATTTGAAACATTACTTGACCCATCATTTTAGAGGGGGGAAAAAGATAATTAATTAGAAGGCTCTACATGTAGATATAACAAATTCTAATTAAAATATCTTAAGACTATTTTAGATGTTTATTTGATCTTGGAACTGTGGTCAACATCATAAAGTACTTCTCTTCATAAAAATAAAAATCCGTATTTTAAGGATTTACTCAATGGGGGGGAGGGGTCTAGTTTTTTTTTTTTTTTTTTTTTTTGCCTGAGCAAGTAAATTTTTAAAAAGGCTCCTCAAAGTCTTGACTAGCGGTGTCATACTCTTCAATGAAATACTTGAGTTTTTCCACACACCGCTCACCTATTTCATGTAAATTCTGTCTCAATGCAAACTGTATGGACTTTTCTAATGAAGGATCTTTTCCAATCAGTATTTTCCCAACCATCCTGAAAGTTACACAGTCTTGTCAGTAAACCTGTTCAATCTCTCTCTCTTTTTTAAAAAAAAAAATATTTTTTTATTGATTTCAGAGAGGAAGGGAAAGGAAGAGAGAGAAACATCAATGATGAGAGAGAATCGTTGATTGACTGCCTCCTGCACAGCCCCTACCGGGGATCGAGCTGCAACCCGGGCATGTGCCCTTGGCTGGAATCGAACCTGGGACCCTTCAATCCACAGGCCAACGTTCTATCCACTGAGCCAAGCCAGCCAGGGCGATCTCTTTGGTTTTTGATGCTATTGCTTTGGAGCGGCCGTTTAGCTGACCGTCTTCAAATAATCCTATGCCTTCTGCTGCATTTGACTCAGGTTCTTCTGACTGGTCAGTGAACAGTGGTGCTGTGGATCCTGCCTCAACCTCAGGAACTCCAAGTACGTTCCTTTCATCTGCCTTCTTAGCTCTCCAGCAGCCCCTTTGCCCGCAGCCTCCGCAGGCTCCTTTTGAGTTAGCTGGCCGGGTTTGTCTCACATCTTCGATGAAGGAGCTGCTGCAGAACTTGAGGGGGAAGTTGATGTTTTCACAGTCTCTTGATGTTTTCACAGTCCGAACAGGTCTCTCTTGACCCCTCTCTGGCTTTCCTTCATGCTGCCATGTGCAGCGAGCAGCAGCACGCACGGGTTTTCCGGGTTGAGACTGATGGAAAGAGTAAGTTTTGCTTCTTTCTGGAGAGAAGCTTCTACTATGGACACTGGAGCCAGGTCTGCTGTGTGCAGGGTCCTTTCTGTCAGTGGGCGATTCTCTTAAACACGGAGTTTCTCTTTTATGAAGAGACCGGTCTCTGACACCAGGGAAGTGTGGAAACTTTTTCTTCTAAAGCCATCTCTCATGTCCCTGTATTCAGGCTGCTGGCATCCAGAATGATCATCTCTTGCCCACTGGTAGTGAGACGCATCTCCTCTGTGAGGTGGACCACTTCTTCCATCATGAGAAGAACTGCGGCCCTCCTCCCAGTCTCAGTAGCCAGCATGACTGGCATATCTACTGTAGCTTCCTTCAATGGCCTGCCTAGCCGTGTGGTTTCTTTGTCACGATATTAACTGCTCCCTGGTAGCCGACACTGGGGTGATTTCTAGGAGTTGCCTTTCATAGTCATGTCGTCCCTCAGAACACATTGCATCTCTTCTGTGAGCCCATCTTGGGCGGTAACCAAGGATAACGGGGCCATGAGCATGTTCGTTTTGGCTGGTCACAAGTCTCTCTGTAAGATACCAGCTTCAGGAAAGGCTCTGGGCTCCAGGCTGCTGCCACGCAGGCTCCCATGGAGTGGTTAGAGGCCTGGTCTGTGTGCTTTTTCCAAACTCCACTATGTCTGTTCACCCTCAAATGCAGAGGCATGACTGCTGCCCGATTCAAATGCAGTGCAAGACTCCAAGTCCCGCCATGGAAAATGCCCGCCTGCTTGCGGCCACCCCTGTGAGCCGTCCCCTGGCCCCCCCTACCCCCCCGCCCTGTCTCTTCACACAAAGGGAAACCACGCTCACTCAATCCCACAGAGTTTTAATGAAGATAAAAGAAAGTAAGATAGAGGCAATGCTGAAAATAGGATATAGTGAGTGCTCAATTAAATTAGCCCTTCCCCACCTCCTCCTCTTCTCCTTTTCCTCTCCTCCTCACTCTCCTGTTCCATTTCCTCCTCAGAGAAACATGAATTATCTGGTTCTTATTGTCTGGGCTGCAGATAATCCAAAGCTGGTAGCCAATGAGGGGGCACAGCCGGGGTAACGACCAGGTCTCCTGGACTCCTTCCTGGCATCAGTTCACTCCACTTTGCCCTTGTCTTGCATTCTGACCCGTGGTGTGACCTGGGGCAGGTTGAACCTATGCTCCTGGGCCTCCCTTCCCACATCTGTACCCTGCGGTGGTAGCAGGTACCAAAAGGAGGTTGACTGACAATCCCAACTGGTCCCAGACTTGGGGTGTGAGGACCCAGGACACTGGACTTTGGGTGCTAACACCCTGAGGGCCCTGGAAAAAGACTTGTTCACCTCACCTTGCAGTGTTGTTGTGGAGACTAGAAAATGCGTGGAAGGGACCTACAAAAAGAAAATTCTGGTTATACTTTAAAAGCTCTCTGCCTCTCTAAGTCATGTTTTTTGCTTAGGTTAATGAAATGACCACCAGTTAAGTTGTTTTGCTCATGATTGAGCATCGTGTGTGTCTCAGATGGACTGTTGAGTGGTCTTTGGCCTGGTCTCCCGGCTCCCTGCCCTCCCAGCAGTGGTCAGATAGCACCTGTGAGCATCTGAGTTGGTCTTGTCCTTCCTCTGCCCAGAGCCCTGTAGGGCTCCCACCTCCCTCAAGGTAGAGCCAAAGTTCTCCCCAAGGTCCACAAGACCCTGCATGACCTGCCCCATCCCTTCCCTGCCCTCACCTCCTCCCTCCCTCCCTCTGCTCCAGCCACATGGGCCTCATTGCTGTTCCTCCAACACACCAGGCCCAGTCCTGCCTCAGGAGCTTTGCATATACTGGGCCTTTTACCTGGGATGCTCTTGCCCTGTCTAAATACCTGGATCCCTCCACCATCATCTTTGTGTTCAGCTCATGTGTCATCTTCGCAGTGACTACCCTATTTTTGACATTGTATGACTCACCCACTCCTCTCTGGATTACCCGCTCTGTGATGGTTGATAATTTTGTGTGTCTTGTTCCACTGTTGAGTCTGCCATGCCTAGAAGAATCCTGGCATATAGTAGGTATTTGTATTAGTCAGGGCTCTCCAGAGAAACAGAACCAACAGGATGGACATCTACATATCTTGATATATGCATTCATATATGTAAAGATATACTACAAGGAGTTGGCTCACTTGGTTACAGCGGTTGGCAAGTCCCAAGATCTGCCCGGTGAGGTGCACAGGTCCTGAGTCAGGAAAGAATTTGGGGAACTGAGCAAAGGTGAGCACGGCTGATGGGACAGGACAGGAGGTGAGCTGGAGAGGTTGGCAGGTGCTCAGGCTCAGGGGACTGGGCTGCTGATCTGGTTGGCGGCGAACTTGAGCTGGGCAGATAGCGCTAGAGGAAGAAAGCTTTGGGGAGCTGAGCGGGGAGACCGCAAGTGGCGATGTGCCGGAAGTCTGCAGAGAGAAAGGTTGGCTCTGCAGATGAAAGAGGAAGCTGGAAATGAGAAGAAAGATACAATCTGAGTGCAGGAAAGGGAAATAACAAAACATTTGCAGAAGGCAAAAAACCCCGGCTCTCAAGATCCTAATCATGATAATTCATCTATGACATTTTCATAGCACTTTTTATAAAGAGCTTTCCTGTGATATCCCATCCTACCTACCAGTTGATGTCAGCAATATTGTTGACCCCTCTCTTTCTTTCATGCCCCCTACCCAACCCACTGGCAAATCCTATTGGCGTTACCTTCAGAATAAATCCAGAATCTCTTGCTTCCTGCTGCTCCCACCGCTCACCTGGACAAGTGCAGACGCCTCCTGCCTTGTCATACTGCCTCTGATCCTCTCCAGTTCATCTTCCCCACCCTTGGCCAGAAGGTCATGTAAAACCTGTCAGTTGTGCCCCTCCTCTGCTCTAAACTCTCCCGGGGCTCCCATCTCTCTCTGATAAAAAGCTGAAGCTTTACAATGGTCTAGCACAGTGGTTGGCAAACTCATTAGTCAACAGAAGCCAAATATCAACAGTACAACGATTGAAATTTCTTTTGAGAGCCAAATTTTTTAAACTTAAACTATATAGGTAGGTACATTGTTATTAACTTAATTAGGGTACTCCTAAGGTTTAGGAAGAGCCACACTCAAGGGGCCAAAGAGCCGCATGTGGCTCGCAAGCCACAGTTTGCCGACCACGGGTCTAGCAGATCCTACATGATCTGGCCATCCCTCATCTGCTCGGCTCCCACCACACCAGCCTCCTTGGAATTCCATGAAATCATCCTTTATCCTTGCCTTTTCCTCTGCCTTAAATAGCTCCCTAGCCCACTCGCTCACCTCCCTCAGGTCTTTGCTCTGATGTGACCTTCTCAGTAAGGTCTTTATAACTGAGCAACAACTGTGTACCAGGCACTGTTCTATGCATTTAGGACACGGCAGTAAACGAGACACAAAACGCTGCCTTCTGGGAGCTCACAGTCCATCAGGGCAACAGACTTGAAACAACCAATTCTACAGGTTTTTCTATAGAATTGTCTTAGGAAGGGCATGAAAATGTATTCCATTTCCAGCCGGACCTACCTCTTCTTGCGTAGCAGTGGTGGAAATCATGCGCTTTGGGGGTTAACAGGCCTGGCGCTGCCACTTGCCCCCTGTGTGTCCTTGGGCAAGTCACTTAACCTCTCTGAGCCTGTTTTCCACATCCATGCAGTGGGAATTGGATCAGTTTCCTACTGCTGCTATAACAAGTGACCACACACTTGGTGGCTTAACACAGCAAGAACATTATCTTACAGTTCTGGAGGTCAGAAGTACAAAATGGGTCTCATTGGGCTGAAATGAAGGCGTCGGCAGGGCTGCGTTCCTCTCTGGAGGTCCTGGGGGAGAATATGTTTTCTTGTCTTTTCCAGCTGCAGATGTATCCCTGGGCTCATGTCCCCATCCTCCATCTTCACAGCCAGCAATGGCTGGCCGAGGCTTTCTCTCATTGCATTGCTTTGACTCTGCCTTTCCTGCCTTCATCCTTCACTTATAAAGACACTGTGATTACATTGGCTCCTCCTCGATAATCCAGGATGACCTCCATATCAAGGTCATCTGATCAGCAATCTTAATTCTATATGCAACCTTAATTCCCCCCTTTTGTGTAGCATAACATATTCACCTGGTCCAGGGATGGGACGTGGTCATCTTCAGGGAAGCCATTATTCTGCTGACCATAGGAATGATAATATCAAGTGAGCGTCTTCCTTAATGCCTGGAGCCTGCTCCTATCTGTGGCTTTGTCCTCCTGGATCTCAGTGTGGCGAAGAGCTAACCACACAAATAACTGAGCAATTATAATTGTAATGAATGTCACAAAGAAGGAGCACACGTAGCTATGGGGGAGTCAGGGAAGGCTTCTTGAAGGAAGTGACATTTAAGTAAGACCTGAAGAATAAATAGGAACTGGTTAGGGAAAGCAGAGGCAAAGGGAATAGCATGTGCAAAGGCCCTGTGGTAGGAAAGCTAGAAATGGAGACTGACATGAGATGAGGCTTAAAGATGTGGTTGGTAGTCACTGGGGGCTATTTGGGTCATGTTCAATAATTTGGATTTTAATTCTGAGTGCAACAGGCAGTATTATAGGGAGGGGTGGGGTGAATAATCAAATTTGCATACAGAGACGATTGCAGGGCATGATGAGGGATGTAGGACTAATTGTACAATCCAGAGGAAGATCTGTACCAAACATAACCATGGAGACAGAGAGAAGTGAGTAGATGCAGAATGATAGTTGGGAGGGAGAGGGAGAATCAATGTGGGGAGACTCACTGGATGTGTGGGTGAGGACTACACAGGGAAACTGAGGTACAGAGGTGAAATCACATGTTCCAGGGCTGGATTGGCTACAGTGTATCTCAGGCCTCCTCTGACCTGCTGAATAAGCGTCTAATATCCCAAGCTCTCCTGGGAATCCCAGGCGAGGCAGAGGCTGCTGATCTGCGACCACACTTGGAGTAGCAAGGGTCCAGGTCAGTGCATCTCACACTTCCATGGGCCCACCGATCATTTGGGGATCTTGTTACAGTGCAGGTTATGATTCAGCAGATCTGGGTCAGGGCCTGAGATTCTGCTTCCACCAGGCTTCCTACTGGTGCCAATGGCCATGGACCACACTTTGAGAAAGAAGAGTCCTAGGTCTTCAGGGTCCTTGATGAGCACTCTTGGTCACTATGTCAGTTTCTCAGGGCTGCCGTAACAGGACAGAGATTTATTCTCTCACAGCTCTGGAGGCCAGAAGTCCAAAATCCAAGTACTTCCTCTGAAGGCTCCAGGGGGAGAATCTGTTCTCTGCCCCTCTCCCAACTTCTTCTGTTGCCAGCATTCCTTGGCTTGTAGACCCATCACTCTAATCTCTGCCTCCGTCATCACATGGTCCTCTCCCTATGTCTCTGTACCTCTCCTCCATTGCTTAAAAGGACACCAATCGCCCTAGCTGGTTTGGCTCAATGGATAGAGCATCGGCCTGTGGACCAGAGGGTCCCAGGTTCGATTCCAGTCAAGGGCACATGCCCAGGGTTGTGGGCTCGATCCCCAGTAGTGGGTGTGCAAGAGGCAGCCAATCAATGATTCTCTCTCATCATTGATGTTTCTATCTCTCTCTCCCTCTCCCTTCCTCTCTGAAATACAAATATATATATATTTTTAAAAAGGACACCAATCATGTCAGATTAAGGGACCATCCTACTCCAGTATGATCTCATCTTAACTCACATCTTTTTTTTCTTTTTTGCTATAGTATTCCATTTTAATATTTAATGCTAACTCACATCTTAATAACATCTACAAAGACCAAATTTCCAAATAAGTTCATGTTCTCAGGGTCCAGGATTTAGGACTTCAATATCTTCACAGGGGACCCAAAAACAGTTGCCTTCTTGTTCTCCCACTGGTTTTCCCCGCAGCTCCACTCTGGTGCTGTAACACAGGATCTTCTTTTTCTGCTGCCTAGATACGAATGAGTGTTGGGACACCACCACGTGTCCAGCTTATGCCACCTGCACCAACACTGTGGGAAGTTACTACTGTACTTGTAAACGAGGCTTCCTGTCCAGCAACGGACTGACGCAGTTCAGAGGCCCAGGGGTGGAATGCAAAGGTGAGTGCACACCTCCTCAAAATCCTCTAGCATTCAGTAGAAAGTTAGGTGGAAGCTGGCAGATGTAGGTACTTTGTTCCTCCCCTGCAGACATTTTTTCCTCCCACCTTCCCTTTCCTTCCTTCCTTCCTTCCTTCCTTCCTTCCTTCCTTCCTTCCTTCCTTCCTTCCTTCTTTCCTTCTTCCTCATTCTCTCTCTCTCTCTCTCTCTCTCTCTCTCTCTCAAATGACTCCTGGTCATTAACATTTTCAATGATTAGAGATTAGCATTATAATAAATAAAAATAAAGAACATGCTATTTATCAATATCCACTAAAGAACATGCTATTTATCAATATCCACTGATCTCATGTTGGGGACCCTCCTTCTGCCTCTCGATGTAGATGATAAGATTTTCTAACACTTATTGAGTGTCAGGCCCCGTGCAAGGGCTTTAGGTGCATGTCCCCATGTAATCGAGAGTGGCAGTGGGATGCCTCTCCATTGGAAAGATGAGGAAATTAAGGCTCCAAGAGCTGAAATGACTTGTGTAGCGTCATGCAGTTGAACTGAAATTCAAACCCAGGTCTTTCTGACTCTAATGGTGGTCTCTTCACACATTATTTATTTGCCACACTCTAGTTGTGAGGTGTTGGGGAAATGAATTTAATCTCTCCAAGCCTCAATGTTTCTATCTGTAAAATAGGTACTAGTATTTAAGAGCATCTACCTCCAAGGATAGTTGGGAAGAATAAATGCAATAATGTTTGCAGTGTGCTAGGCACATATACAATTCCAAGAGCTACTATTAACATAAATAATATAAACTCAAATAGTTCCCAGAATGAGCTAAGTTCTTTGTCTGCATTTCTTATATTTAGACCCCAATTCTCTTCTTGGCAATAAAGATCTGTCTGTGCCTTTGAATAAGATCAGGGGTCTGTAAACTTTTTCTTTCTGGGGCCAGATATTTTGGAGGTTGTAAGCCTTACAATCTCTGTCATGACTACTCAATGCTCCAGCTGTATTGCAAAAGCAGCCGTAGATGATACATAAATGAATGGATGTGACTGTGTGCTAATAAAACTTTGTTTACACAAAATGGATGTGGTGGACTGAATTTGACCCGTGGGCTGTAGTTGGCTGAATAAGATAAATCATTTCTATCATTATAGCTCCCAGGGAGCCCCAACCATCTTTCTTTGCGCTATAGTTCATGGATTATTCAGTGAGCTCAGTAGTACTGATGGGCCCTGGTTTTTAAATTTGGGGTGAAATGAACATTCCTCATCTAGAAAGTGATGGATACTACAGCCAAGATTTTGTCCACTCTATGTCTGTGACCCCCAGTACAATGCATCAATAGATATTTGTCAAATGAAGGAACATGTTATTCTTTATGTCATCTCCAGATTTTATCATCCTGTTATTGACACTTAGGTTGTTTCTAAAGTTTTATAACTTCAAGCAAAGCTGAGATGAATATCCTTGTGATCTTATCTTGGCAGACAGTGGAGTTCCAGATTTCTCTTTAGGAGAGGTGCAATTTGCCAGGAGAGAGCTATAGGAGATTTGCCTCGAAGTTTTATTTGCATGAAGGTACATAGCAAGTGTTTATTTAGGGTGGCTTGATAGAGCAGGGCCACCCCATGGTACCACAATTGCCCAATTCAATGGGTGCTTCAATGAGTAAGTTCCTAGAGGTGGTTTTGCAAGGTGTTCTCGACTGGGTAATAGACAACTGCAAACTTAGTGCCTAAAACAATAACTATCATTTATTTTGTTCATGAATGAATCCACAATTGGGGCTGAGTTTGGTGAGGACAGCTTGTCTCTGTGCCACACAGTGTCAGTTGAGTTGGCTCATGTGGAAGTTAGAGGACCCACTTTGAAGAGGGCCCACTCACATGGCTGGCAAGCTGGTGCTGGCTGTTGGGTGGCTGCTCCACCAGGCCTGTGGGCTGGAGGTCTTAGTTCTTCTCCACGCAGGCTGCTTTTTCATGACTGTTTGGGCTTCCTCACAGTATGGCGGCTGAGTTCTAAGAATGAGCATCTCAAGAGAACAATGCATGCTTTTTTTTATAACCTTGAGTGTCACTTCCTCCATAGTCGAAAGCATGCTCAGATTGAAGGGGAGGGAACATAGACCTGCTGCTTGATGAAAGGAGTACCAAATTCGCACTAAATGAAGGGCATAAGGAATGGAAGACTTTATAACCATCTTTGGAAAAGACAGTCTTTTATACAGGATGAGGCAGATTTGTAACTCTGGCTCTTTCTCGGTCTAGATGTAGATGAATGTTCTTCAAGTCCCTCAAAATGTGGTCCTAACTCAGTCTGCAAAAACCTGCCGGGGAGGTACAAGTGCAGCTGCTTGCCTGGTTTCTCTTCTCCCACTGGGGATAACTGGAGCCCGGAAAAGCCCGGTCATTTCTCCTGTACAGGTAATGCTCCTGGGCTCTGCATGGGTGTTTCGTGGCTAGCTACCACTGAGTTGGGCACATGCGTATTTAACCTTAGACAGCCAATCTTTTGTCTGCTCACTCTCCTCTGCTGCTCCGCAGACATCGATGAATGCCTCGACAGCGGAGTCTGCCCAGAGCATTCTGAGTGTGCCAACTCTTTGGGAAGCTACAGTTGCCACTGCCAAGATGGATTCATCTTTAACAACTCTCTCTGTGAAGGTATGGAGGACCTGCTCTTCTTCATTTACCTACGTAACGAAGCATCCCTTCATTTGATGATCCTATGAGATAGGGTTGCTGATTCTCATTTAAGACTGAGGAAATGGAGGTTCAGAGAGATGAAGTCACTTGCTCAAGGACACACAGCCATTAAAGTGGAAGAACTGGGATTTGAACTCCTGTTGAGATCTTACGATGAATTAAGCAGTGGGGTCAGGAAGTACTTGAGAGTATGGGAGGCTCTCAAGTGCTCTTTCTCCCAGGGGACATTGGCCATGTCTGGAGACATTTTTATGGCCACAACTGGTGGTGATGGTGGGGTTGTGTGTGATCTTATCATCTAGAGGGCAAGGCACATTACAATGCACAGGACAGCTTCCCACAATCAAAAATCATCTGATGGTGGGCAACGGTGCACTGGCCACCATAATGAGAAATTAACTACAGGCTGAAGAAGGAAGCAGGCAACTCCATAGAATATGACAGAATTTATTACAGGTTACTTACTTACAGGAAGATCAGATCAGAACAGACAGTCCGCACAGATTATTCTAATCAAAAATCATCTGATGGTGGGCAACGGTGCACTGGCCACCATAACGAGAAATTAACTTGAGACTTAAGAACAAAGCAGGCAACTCCATAGAGTATGACAGAATTTATTACAGGTTACTTACTTATAGGAAGATTAGATCAGAACAGACAGCCCAGCAGTCCGCACAGATTATTCCCCACTTCCAGACCCCTGTTACAGTGCTTTTTTACAGTATAACTCAGGCACTAATGATTGACAAGAGAAAGGGACAATGAATGCAGTACAGCAATGCCAGGGGCCATACCTCCTTGTGGTCTTGTGACAGATGGCCGGTTTGATAGTTGTCTTGGTTGTCATGGCATTCTGGCCATTACTAATGAAAATATTTGTGGCTAGAGTTTAAGGAATATAGATACTCATCAACTAGAAGGCTTTGATCTGCTTGCTAAGGACAGTGAGGTTAATCACAGCATGAAACTTAAAATGAAATGAGATCTGGACGCAAAAATGGAGTTGGTTTTGTTCACACCTACCTCCCTACAAAAATGATCCCGTCCCAAATGTCAGTAGTGCTAAGGTAGAGACACTCTGTTGTAGGGAGACCCAAACTTTGGAACTTTCTCCTAAAAGGTATTTAAATTAAGACCTGAGAGTTTCCCTTGATCCTCTGTCTCCTTCCATATTGAATCAGTCATCATGTCTTGGGTGACTGACCTGGTAAATGGTCTGGAATCTCTCCATTCTTTCCCATCTTTGGTCCAAACACCATATGGTTTACAGCAGTCTCGGTCTTGCTCTTTGATTCTGTCCCCCACATTGCAGTCAGAATATTCTCACCAAGAGGCAGGGAGTCTGAATTCTCCATGTTCATTTGGAGAGAGTGACTGCATGACATGCTCAAACCTCATTATATTCTCTTGCCTTGGAGCCAGAGATATTTGAAGTCAGTCCATTTGTAGCAGTTAGCTATTGCTGACTAACAGATGACCCTGAAAGTCAGTGGCTAAAAACCACCCCCATTTATTTAATGCTCAGTTCCATGTCTTGGCAATTGAGGTTGGGCTTTGCTGGCCAGTTCTTTGGGTCTCAACTGGAGTTGTTCGTGGGTCTGCGGTCAGCTGGGGGTCAGTTTTGCTGATCTTGGCTGGGCTGTCCACATATCTGGGGCCATCCATCTCTCTTCCACTTTGTCTTTTATTCTTCGTTAGGCCAGCCTAGGGTTTGTTCATATGGCAGAGGCCCCAAGAATGAGCAGAAACAAACAAACCTCTATAGCAGTGGTTCTCAACCTTCTGGCCCTTTAAATACAGTTCCTCATGTTGTGACCCAACCATAAAATTATTTTCGTTGCTATTTCATAACTGTAATGTTGCTACTGTTATGAATCATAATGTAAATATCTGATATGCAGGATAGTCTTAGGCGACCCCTGTGAAAGGGTCATTCGACCCCCAAAGGGGTCTCGACCCACAGGTTGAGAACCACTGCTCTAGAGGTATAAGTTTGGAACTGGCACCACATTGCTTTCACTGCATTCTATTGGCCAATGCAAGTCACTGGGCCAGCTAGATCCAGGGGTGGGGGAACAACTCCACATCTTACAGAAAAAGGAGTGGCAGAGCCCACATCCCAGGGTGTAGGTACAGGGAGCAGTGAAAGACAATGAACACCTCTGTAATCTATGATCATTATGTTTTGAAACTATTTGCCACCCTTTTGTTTACACACTGTTGGCCAACATTTATTCTCCCCAGGCGCATCTCACTGCCCTGGAGGTGAGGAAGAAGGGGGAACATGGGTATTGGGGAGCAGCAGCACTGTGTGCCACCTGTTAGGAACATGTAGAGTGGGTCTCCTGCTTGCAATCTCCTGTCCTCAATTCCTCACCTGCCTTGATCTGGGTTTTCATTTCCACTCATTAGATGTGGATGAATGTGCCGATCCCAGAGCTTGCCCGGAGCATGCGACCTGCCACAACAGTTTTGGAAGCTACTCTTGTGTCTGCAACTCAGGATTTGAATCCAGCAGTGGAAACAGGAGTTTCCATGGCCCAGGAGGAATGTGTGAAGGTGGGTGGAGGGGTCTTTTGGTGATCCAGGTCCAAGCCTGTTTGCAAAGACAGCAGTGGTGGGGCAGGAATCAGGGTGGATCTCAGCTGAGTTTAAAGCCCTCATCTACAAAGGGGAAGCCAACCATCATTCATTTTTTCTTTCATTCACTCATGCACTCATTCAACAAATACTTCTGGAGCACCTACTTTATGTGAGGCACTATTCTAGGGATGGTAGATACAATGGTGAAAAACACCGGCAAAAATATTTATTTTCCTGTAACTTATCATCTCATGTGGAGGGAGACAGGTAACAAAAATTAATGCACGCATGTATTGTGTGTCTGGAATAGTTAAAGGAGATGAAGACAAATAAGGCAGGGAAGGAAGATAGTGCTGGAGAAGATTTCTAATTTTATTAGAGCAAAGGCCACGATTAGAAGTGGGTATTTGAGAAAGATCTGAAGACACCGAGGGAGTGAGATATTGGGTATCTGGGGAAGGGTGTTCCAGGAGGAGGGAACAGCAGGGACAAAGGCCTGGAGGCAGGTTCTCAGCCAAGGCCCTAAGCTCTTCCATATGTGACCTCCTTTGGTCTTCCCAAGTGATATTTTATACTCATTTTTGAGATGAGAAAACAGAGCCTCCATTGTAGTGGAGTCACTTTTCCAATGTCAAATAGGCAGGAGTTAGGAGGGTCAGCACCTGAACTGTGCCTAGGTTCACATCCAAGATGTCCTGCCCTTCAGTCCTCCACTCTGATATATCTTAGTTGTTATTATTATTAATAATATAGTGATTCCTTGGAGTGGGGCTGGCATTCACCAGGGAAAGAAGGAGTGGATGAGTTTGAGTTCTGAGGGAACACAGGTGAGAGAGAAGAGTCTTCATGAACCTGCAGGTCATCAACGAATCTGGATCCCTCGTTATACAGGGAGTAGAAGCAGAAGATGAGGGAGGTGAGCTTAGTTGGGAGCAGGTTCTCAGGGTCTCGTTGGTTCTAAGGAGGAGTTTGGGTTTTACCCTGAGCCATGGGAGCCTCTGGTTGTGTGCATTCATAGACATGCATTTGAATGCTTCCCTCCATAGCAATGAAAACGTGTGTAAGAAGGTGAGACAGGGCCGGGGAAACCCCTTGGCTCTGTCCCTGGTGGGCTGTGTACTGCTGTTATAGCCTCAGCTTCCTTCATCTTTATGACTTAGACCAATTTTCTGCTTAGATGTGGATGAATGTTCCAGAAACTCGACTCTTTGTGGTCCCAATACTGTCTGCACCAACATCGCAGGAGAGTACAGTTGTTCCTGCCTGCCTGGGTTCATTTCGCCTGAGTTTTGGACCCCCAAACAACCAGAGGCTTTCAAATGTACAGGTAATTCTCCCAGCCGTGAGGTGGACTTCTCAACGGTTGTCAAATGACCCTGAAACACAATGGCATATAGCAACAACCCTTTGTTCTTGCTCGTGATGTTACAGGTTGGCCACATGGGTTTTCTGGGGTACCAGGATGGCTGGCAGATCTGAAATGGCCTCATTTGTGTGGCTGGTAGTTGGTGCTGGTCTCTGGTTGGGAGCTTAGTTGGGCCCCTAATTTTCATCGTGGGCCTTTCCACATGGCAGCTTAGGCTTCCTCATGGCATGGCAGCTGGTCTCCAAGAAGGAACGTTCAAAGGGGCAGAAAGCAGAAATGCCAGTTCTCATAAGGCCTGGGCTCGGCAGTTTTCTAGCACTTTCTATTGGCCACAGTCGGGGCCAGCCTAGGATCAGAGGAAAGAGAAATAAACACCCATCCCTCTGGGGGAACATTGGGAGGGAATACTTCCACTGCATACAGGAAGTGAAAGGGTTAATGGAGGCCGTCCTCAGTGTATCGGCTACACTGCAGAACACATTTTATATTCCTCATCCCCCAGGGGAAATCATGCTTCTTTTAATTAGTCTATTTCTTCTTATTGATCTGCACTAGATGCTGACATTGTTAGAAGCAGAACAGTAGAGTGATAAAAATCGAAAGGAGCCACTATTTCTTCTTATTGATCTGCACTAGATGCTGACATTAGAAGCAGAACAGTAGAGCGATAAAAATCGAAAGGGACCTTAGAGAGGGTAATACAGCTCTAATGGCTCCTGGGAGCCTATTCAGGATCCCGATCAAGGGCAAGAAAGCCAAACCATGGCCTTCCACCCCACTTTTCATCACACTATCACCTCTTTCATTTGTCTTACCTACTCAGGTTTCACTTCACAGGAACAAAGGTTCTCTTGGCCCAAAAGTTTTGAAATTCATGCACGAGTCCAGCTCCATATGCAAAACATAAATTCCCTCTCTGCTATTTCTGACAAGAGCTTGCCTAGTCAAGGCTTCAATGTGTCTGGAAATGGGAAGCTCACTCTTTGGTTAGAGATGTTTTCTGTAACACCAAGAGGAATACCACTTCCCCATGCTTTCAGCTGTGGGCCACTTCCATGCCTTTGATGACTCCAAATTAGTCTACATTCGTATCATAAGGACATCTTGTCCCAGTTCTCCATGGTAATGTCCAGTGCAGTGTGCCACACACCTGCTTAAGTGACTAGTGGATGCTGCTTGTTTATTCTTTTTTTGTTTTTGTTTTGTTGTTGTTAATCCTCACCTGGAATATTTTTCCATTGAATTTTAGAGAGAGTGGAAGGGAGGGGGAAAGAGAGAGAGAAAAACATCTATGTGAGTGAGACACATCAATTGGTTGCCTCCCACACACATCCAGACTGGGTCCAGGGATTGAGCCTGCAACTGAGGTACATGTCTTTGACTGGAATAGAAACTTTGACCCTTCGGTCTGAGGGCTGATGCTCCAATCATGGAGCCAAATCAGTTAGGGCAATTCTTCATGTTTTGTGACGACTCCTAATTCTTTTCTCTAGGGCATTCAATTCCATGTATCCTCTGTGGCTCAGAAACCCTCAGAGGGAGAGGTAACCCTATGTTGCCATGGTGACCTGACACCACTCTGTATTTGTTAGGATAGAGTTTCTCAACCTTTGCACTATTGACTTTTTGGGCTCAATAGTTCTTTGTGTGGGGGGCTGTCCTGTACATGGTAGGATGTTTGGCTTCTACCTACTATATCCCAGTAGCACCCCCTCCCCCAGTCTTGACAATAAAACATGTCTCCATACATTGCCCAGTGTTCCCTGGGGAGGCAAATTGCCCCCAGCTGAGAACCACTAGCTTAACACAGAAATTTTTTATGCTCATAACAATCCAATATGGATATACTGGGCCAATGGGCAGCCTTCCTCCACAAGGTAATAATAGGGGTCCAACCTCCTTGCATCTCTTGGTTTTTCTATCCCTTAGGACCTTGGAATCCCTGGTCCTAGCCAGTGGTGGGGCAAGAGAGAGAGGGCACACCCACTTCTTGGTCATATTGGCCCAGAAGTGACAAATGTCATATCTTTTCACATTCCACGAGTGAAGACTGGTCACACTGATACCCAACCCAGGTTCAGCTGCCTACCACTGGAAAGCCAGTAATGAAGAGACAAGGGTTGGTGAAAGGAAAGTAGTTTATTCAAGAGCTGGCAGCCCAAGAAGATGGTGCACTTAGGTTGCAAAGACCATCTTAACAATTGGACACAGGCAGTGGTTTTTGTAAGGAGAGAAGAGGAATTACAAAAACAAAACAAGCAAACAAAAAAAAAACAGAACATAACAGAACAAAGAAATCGGAAGTAGGGGGTTCAGAGTTCTCCATTGAAGGGACTACGTGCAAGTCAGCACAGTCTGTACAGATAACTGATCGAAGGTCAGCAAATCTCCCAGAGCCGGAAGATCTGGAGGTTGGGGTTTGCTTCTTTTGAAGTTAGTTCCTAGAATTCTTAAGCAAACAGGCTGTTTAACTATTATATGTTAGTTGACAGGTCATCTTTTACAGAAACAACGTTAAAAGAATGTTGGGGTAGGTTACTACATGGTCCCGCCCAGATGCCGAGGATTCTGGGAAGTGTAGTCCCTGTTTGGGCTGCCATTATTTAAATGACAACTCATGTTTCAGAATGGGAAGCATGACTTTTGTTGGATTGTTGGCCAACTCTGCTTCATGCCCTTTCTCCACTACACAGATATTGATGAGTGCCTGGATATGTGCCCTTTCAATGCAACATGCACCAATACCCTTGGGAGCTACTTTTGTACCTGTCACCCTGGCTTTGCACCAAGCAATGGACGGCTGAACTTCACAGAGCAAGAGGTGGAATGTGGAGGTAAATGGAGGGTTGTGTGGACATCCCTGGACAAAAATTAATCTCCTTGTTCCTTTGGTTGTTTGATATTCTCGAGTTCTTTGCAGATATTGATGAGTGTGTGCAAGATCCATCACCATGTGGCCCCAATTCTGTCTGCACCAATGCCCTGGGCTCCTACAGCTGTGGCTGCATTGTGGGCTTTCGCCCCAACCCGGAAGGCTCCTGGAAATATGGCAACTTCAGCTGCAAACGTAATCATCTCCTTGTGTGTCTTGGCAATGGAATCTGTGTCTTGCTCACTCTGCCCAACCTCTGGATCCTTTTCTTACTTTCACCTCATCCACATGTTCTCTCTTTATTCATTCATTCATTTACTACACATTCATTAATTCCCTCATTCAATACATTCTTTTCGGAACATCTATTAATTAGTTAATGAATCAATCTGACCCGTACACTGAGAATTCAGTCCTGGACATGATGGACATGATACTTGCCCTCACGTAGCTTATAGTCTAGGGAAAAAACAGAGAGCACATAAATAATTATTTAATGACCACGATGAATATGACCATTGAAAAATCTTAAAACACTTTGGAGTGACTAATGGGATATTTAATATGCTTGGGGAAAATAGCATTTCAGCTGAAGCTTGAAGGAAAAGTAGGAATTATCCAGATGAAGTGTGAAGATCACACTCAAAGGCCCTGAGGCTAACACAGAGAAAGGGCAAGAGAAATGGCATTAGCTGTATCTGAGAAGGTGGGCGGAGGTCAGATACTGCAGGATCTTGTGAGCCGTGCAAACAATTTTGCAGTCTTCTTTGCCAAGAACAACGGGAAACCAGAAGAGGTTTAAAAATGTTAAATGCTGGATTCTTTGGGATGTTAGAAATATAAGTAACTTACATGGAAGCAATGAAGTACAGTAATAAAATGACTCTATCAGAGGCCATTGTCAACATAAGTAGAATATCATTGATGTCCTTGCTTCTTCCCCATTCCACATCCCTGTCTCTGCCCCAGAGGGAATCCCTTTGAACTTGTGTTCATAATTACCCTACTTAAATAAAGATTTATTCCCTTGTATATATTCCTAAACAATGCCTTGCTTAGATTTGTTGGTTTTGGAGCTTTATAAAACATCTCAGAGTCTCTGATATGGTGGTGTATAGTTTGCTTGTTTCCACTGTTGTATAATATGGCAGTGGATGGACTTTCAGCAGGGCATGACGTAATCAGACTTGCTTCAGTCATATCTTGCTGTGGTTAAGTCTGATTTGGTTGCTTTTGTTTCATTCCTAGGAGTTCCCTTCAAGTGTAAAGAAGATGTGATCCCCAACAATAAACAGGTCCTGCTATGCCAAGTGGAAACAGCAGTGGAGCCTGAGGATGTAAGTATTTTTGAAGGTGTTTTTTATTTTTGTTTGTTTTTTTAAGATTTTTTAATTGATTCTTAGAAAGAGAGGAAGGGAGAGGGAGAGGGAGACAAGCATGGAAATGAAGCGTAACACCGATCAGTTGCCTCCTGCACGCCCACTGGGCATCGAGCCCACAACCTGGTCATGTGCCTTGACCGAGAATCAAACTGGCAACCTTTTGATGCATGGGATGAAGTCCAACCAACCGAGTTTTCCTGGGAGTCAATTAAGTAGGATATTGTTTGCACCTTTAACAAAGGTAAAAATAGCTGTGCCCCCAAACAGACAGCAGTTTGTTTCTTTCTTTATAACAGTCTGAGTGTAAGCTGCTGAGTGCTGATATGGCTCCATAATGCTCTGCCATCATTAATACAAGACTCCCTCGCTGTGGTCCAAGATGGCTGCTGCAGCCCCTGCCATCACGTCTGCATTCCAGCTGGTGGGCAGGGGAGAACGGAAAGTGAAAGGCACTATCCTTTCCTTTAAGACTATGATGCAGTATCACCTCTGCTTGTACCTCATTGGCCAGACATTAGTCACTTGGCCACAGAGCCAAAAGGAAAGTCTAGGAGGGAGGGCACTTGCTTATTTAAAACTTGGGGAGATTCTTTTACTAAAAGAAGAAAAGATGTTGGGGGGACTCATGACCAGTAAGGGTGTTGGGGTTGCATGTGTGTGACAGAAGATGGGTGTGACACAGCCCCTAGGCCAGCTAAAGAGGAATGTGGACGTCGTGGCTCTCTAATGAAGTCATTGTCATTGTAGTGGCTCAAGCCTTCATAAGCATTTTCAGGGATTGAGGTAACTATCTTAAATCCGAGCTTGGACATTAACTTAGGATTCCCATGCACTTTGGACCACTGTTTTTTGTTTGTTTGTTCGTTTGTTTGTTTGTTTAATTGTGGTAAAAACACACATAAGATTCAACATTTAAACCATTTTAAAGTCTACAATTGTTAGGCAAAATGATTCCCGGTACTTAATATGACAGTTGCTATCTAATGAAGCAAGCTGACCACCAATTCATCCTGGAATGTTCTTGCATAGAGAAGAGGGCCCATTAAGTTGTTTTCTGCTGTGGATTAAATGGCCTTAACCAGCACAAACCACTGGCTAGGAGCCACTGTTGTTCTTGGAGGCTGATGTATCAAATTCCTTCCCTTCTCTTTGCTGAGATCAGCCAGCTTGCCGCCGCCCACAGGTGCTGCTTCTGTCCATAGTTCCCCTGGTAAACTCCTGACGTCATGCTGGAGTTGTCAGCCTCTTGGACTACTTTCTCGGGAAATTTTCCCAAGAAATGGCGAGCCAGCCAGGAGACCGGGGCCATGGGAAAGGGGAAAGCAGCTTCCTGGGGGCCATCCTGGGTTGGCCCTTGGCCTCTGTGTGGGGAGGGGTAGCCCCCGTGCTGGGTGCTTGTGGCCACCTTGTGAGTACAGGGACCCTTGCAGACACTGGCTGGGCTGGAGCTGTGGCTTGCTGAGCATTATCTGGCCCCTTGTGTAAGGATAGCCCTTACCACAATGGGCCAGAAAATGCTTAACAATCAGAGAATACTCACTAGTTGAATTGCTAGATATTGTGGCTAAATTTCAACAAAAGTCACGAGAAAGCCTTTCAACGTGGATGGTGAAGTTTTGGGTCACAGGCTGATGGGCTCTCTCTCTCCTGGACTGAAGGAGAAAAAATGAGTAGATATCACCAGTCCCCCGACTCTAAGGCATATTCTGCAGGCACAGGCCCAGGGAGATCATTTTTTAATGGGTTGGATACCAGTGGGATGCGGGGCCCGAGCCAAGTGAGGGAGACCTACCGGGACAAGCCAGTCCCTGGAAGTCCACTGAGGAACCTCAAGATTTGTTGCAGGAAGTAAGAATGAGCCAGGCTCTCGGTGGCCAGGTGTTTGAGGGGCCCACAGAGCTGTATTCACTGCCAGTAGGAACCATCATCCTTTGCAGGCAGCCCCCAAAGGATGGTCCTTGATTTTCCCTTTTAAGTCCGTTAATTGGGCAAGGTGACCGATGTGGGGAATTCATGGCAGAGTTCGTTGAAACGGAACAGGGCCGAGATCAAGTCTGCCCTGTAACTCAGAAGGAGACTCAAGGGCATCTGCACCCCAAAGAGTAAATCTAAGTATAAGGGGCTCATCTGTGTCCCAGGTGAACAGAGGTGTCATGATTTAGTAACAAGGGAACAAGACAGACGGCCTGATGCAGTTCTGGTGAAACCAGGGAAAAGGCTACGCCAAAACCAGCAGTTCCTGCCTCTCCCTTTGTCCCTTCCTCTGCCCTAACCTCAGCCCTAACACTAAGCTACTTTCTTTCTCCATCGATGTGCCTGTGCTGGACATGTCACATACATGGAATCACACACTGTGTGGCCTTTTGGGTCTGGCTTCTCTCTCTGAGCATCATGTGTTCAAGATCCATCCATGTTGTAGCGAGTGTCAGAGCTTCACCCCCTTTTATGGCTGAGTAATACTCCATTTAGCCACTGATTTTTTTCACACATCTCCCCATCTTTTCACCCCACTATGTAGTTCTGCTTTTATGTGTGTCTGATGTTTTATTCATGGAAGAGAAAAGTGCTGTGGCTCCAGTTCAGATCATATGGTGAGTTTGTATTTTCCTGAGGATTCTAGAGACTCATGACACCTCAGGGACCGAGGACCACCCCATGCAGTGGACGTGGTGGCCCAGTCTGTACCTTGAATGAGTGGGGGAGGGACAGATCAGTGCTCACAAATGCTCTTCCCTCTGGCACAGGTTTCGTTTTGTGCACTCATGAATGCCACCTTCAGCGTTCTGGATGAGACCTGTGCAAATAAAACCACTGCCGTTTCTCTGAAGGTAATGACGCCTTTGTCATTGTGTTTCATGGTTTGAATCTCTCAGGGGTGCAGAAAGTCCTCTTTATAATTGAGCTGTGAGTTCACATTTAATTTATGAAAGTTGTGAGGTTTGAAAAGTTAACATAGAGGGAAAAACAGAACAAAGTAATGAAAGTTAACATACAGCAGAATTGCCCCTTTCTGGACAATTTTACATGTTTTATCATTACCTGAGTAGATGGGTGTAGGTACCACTACAATCAGAACACAAAACACTTCTAATTCCTCACCCCGTACCCCTACCCCCACCCCCAGACTTCCTTGGGCTTCCCCTTTATAGTTGCATACTCTGTCTACCACTAGGCTAGAAAAATCCCTGATCTGTTCTGTCATTATAGTTTTATCTTTTTAAAACATCATGTAAATGGGGTCACGCATATGCAGCCCTTTGTGTCTGGCTTTTTTCACTTAGCACAGTACCTTTGAGAGTTGTTAATGTTGTGTTTATCGATAGCTCCATGCCCTTTTGGGGGGAACTATTAGTGACATTTAGCACATTCACATGGTTGAGCAAACATCCCAAAGGTAGTTCTACTATAGTTCTAGAACATCTAGAACATCCTTACCATCCAAAAGGAAACTGCATAAGCATCTCTCCTCATTCCACCCCGCCCCCGCAACCCAGCAACCACTCATCTACTTCCTGTCCCTGTGGATGTGCCTGCTCTGGACATGTCACATAAATGGAAGCACACACTGTGTGGCCTTTTGTGTCGGGCTTCTCTCACTGAGCATCCTGTGTTCAAGGTCCAGCCATGCTGCAGTGAGTGTCAGTGCCTCACTCCTTTTCATGGCTGAGTAATATTCCCCTGTATGGCTGGGCCATAGCTTGTTTATCCACTCATCTATTTTTTTAAAATAGGGGATTGGATTACTCTTTAAAATTTATTTTATTTTTGTTAATTCTCATTCGAGGATACTTTCCCATTGATTTTTAGAGAGAATGAAAGAGAGGGGGAGATACAGAGAGAAAGAAACATCGATGTGAGAGAGAAACATACATGTGTGGGAGACTCATCAATTGGTTGCTTCCCACTTGCCCCAACTGGGCCGGGGATCAAGCCTGTAATCGAGGTATGTGCCCTTGACTGGAATTGAACCTGGGACCCTTTAGTCCACCAGCCAATGCTCTCACCACTGAGCAAAACAGGCTAGGGCTGGAAAACACTCTCTTGATGAGAGAGGGCAGTTGCTATTTCATGGATGAGAGAGACAGAGAGAAGAGACACACAGAGAGACAGAGAGACAGAGACCCTGAGAGACAGAGAGAGGAGAGAGATGATGAGAAAAAGCAAGCAAACACCCCTTTCCTTGCAGAGTACAGCTGAGAGCTTTGCCTCTGTGCTCGAACAAACATCCACGTGGTCCAACTTCACCAAAGATGAGACATCCACGCTGGCCACTGTCTTACTGGAGAGTGTGGAAAGCACCGCTTTGGCAGCTTTTCTGAAACCCTCAACGAACGGCAGTCAGACTGTTCGGACGGAGCACTTGGGTAGGACATATCCTTCATGGCAAGGTCACACCTGGTGCTGGTTTTGAGGAGGGACTTCGGCGATGTGATTCTCCATATGCCATGTTCCCAACTGTCTCAAACCTGTGAACTCATAGCAAAGAACTCTAATCATATTATCAACACTTCTCATGGACTGAGTGCTGGGCGCTGTGTGTGTGTTGCCAGGCACTGCGTTTGGAGTGTGTCATTAATTCACTCAATAAGCAATTGCAAAGTGCCTGCCCTATGCCAGGTGTTAAGGGAGGATAGTCACTTGCTATGTTCAAATGGGTAGGACGGTCCTTCCTGGCTTGGAGTTAGGTGGGGTTTTGTGACTAGTCCTGATCAATGGATTGTGAATGGAATAGTTGCCAGTGTGAGACCTTCCAGAGCTTTCTTTCCCTCTGCCCTACCGACAGGTCATGTTTCAGATCACAGTTTTTCCATCTGTGCAGGTCTCAGTGTAAGGACAAAACAGAGCACCATCCCAAGTCAATGCACTGATGGGAAATTATTGTTATTTTTAATCCACTAAGATTTGGGGTTGTTTGTTACTGAGGCCTAAGTGATCCTCTCCTGACTGATACACCCTGAACATATGTGATCTGTGACCCCTTGGGAATCCTGAGTGCTGTAGACCTTTTATGGCAGTACCCCACTCATGGTACTCTTTCTAGGGTCAGTCACACAACCTTCTGATTTTCTATCCTGATAGGTGCCTGGGAGGTCAAGATGTGGAAATAGAGTATTTGGTGGACTGCTACCAGTAGTGAACAAGACTGGCCTCATGAATCTTATATTTTAGTGAGTTGAGTCAGACAAACAGACATCTGTATACCAGATAGAACTAGTGCTATAGAGAAAAAACACAGCAGGATAAGGAAGCTAGAAAGGGTCAGGATGAGGGAGAGTGTTGCTGTCTTACACAGTGTGGTTAGGGGAAGTCTCACTGGGGTGGAGACCTGAGGGAAGGGAGCCACGTAAATATGGGGTATCCTAAAAATGTATGCACACTTTAACCTCTGGTGGCTCAGTTTTTTGAAAATTAAATATTTAATCAACAACACTGCCTTTATAATTATTCAAAGTGTGTGTATACATTTTTGGGGACACCTATATTTGGAGAAAGCAAATGTGGGAATACTTGGCGAGTTCAGGGAGCGCTAAGAAGGCCAGCGTGGCTGATGTGGAGGAGAGGACAGTAAAAGCTGCAGGAGGAGTCAGAAAAGGGAGAGGCAGGTTTTGTAGATAAATGTAGGGACACAGGATTTTATTTGAAGTAAGCTGGGGGGCAGAATTGGGAACAGGCATGGCATTGCTTATATTTTAAAAGGGTTCCTCTGGTTCCATTATGTATTGTGTTTTCATGAAGAGTCCTGTACTTATGGCCATGGTCCAGGTAAGAAACCTGAGGTTCAGAGAGGTTAAGACCTTGCTCAGGTTTACACGGCTGGTGAGCAGCAAAGCAGGGCCTCCCAGTTCGCGTTATCTGACTGCAGAACTGAGCCCTTGTCCACCGGCTGGGCTTATCCCAGTCCCTTCCTGTTCTCTTTGGCTTTGGAAAACCTGTCTAAATTTGGAGTAGCAACACTGTCTCAATACTGTAGTCTTCTTCACTGTTGACTTAAGTCCGTCTTTCCCCGATGCATCCCCTCCGATGTGAGAGCTTGCTCCTAGAGCTCCGACTGGGCTCCTCCTGTTTGCTGCTCCCACACACCTGTTGTTCATGAAGGGGCTGTAGTGCGAGCCCAGGACCACCTGGCCTTTCTGTTCTTTCCTTGGCTTGCAACCAGGGATGCGAACCTGTGTCCGAAACCCAACTCGACCCACTTTCTGGGTGATGTCATGCAAAGCCTCCCTTTCTCCTTTTAGATATTGAGAGCAAAGTTATCAAGGAAGAATGCGCTGAAGAGAATGTGACCTTTAACTTGAAAGCCAAAGGGGATGAGATGAAGATCGGCTGTTCCACAATTGAAGAATCTGAATCCATAGGTACAGACCTGCTCATGAGAGTCAAGGAGGGTGGTTTGGGTGCGTTCAATCAGCAAATATGAGTTGATCACCTCCTACGTGCCAAGACCTGTTCCAGGCAGTGAGGGACCCCTGATGGTGGAGGTAGAAACAGTCTGTGGCCTCAGGGAGCTTTCTATCTGCTAGGGAGATCAGACATTAAATAAATACTCTCACGAGACTGCAGTATCGAGAGCTTCCGTCTCCAGTGCAGCAGCTACTGGCCACATCTGGTCACTGAGCACTTGGAATGTGGCAGAGCTGTACATGTGAAATACATGCCAATTCCAAAAGCGTGGTGAAAAAAAAGAAAGAAAAGGATGTGAAATATCTTATTAATAGTTGTTTATATTGATTGCATGTCGAAATGTTGTTTTGCATGTGCGTTAAAAATTATTATAATTCATTTCACCTCTTTTTTCCCTTTTCTAAAATGTCACCACTAGAAAATTTAAAATCACACATGTGGCTCCTACTGTACTTCCAGTGACAGTGCCAATTTGTATCGGTGTTGGCAAGCTTTCCCTGTAGAGGGCTGGTTGGTAATTGTTCTAGGCGTTGAGGGCACTACAATCTCTGTCCCAATTACTCAACTCTGCCGTCATAGTGCAAAGGCATTCATAGACAATACGTAAAGGAATGCGTGTGGCTCTGTTGCAATACAACTTTTATTTAGGAAAAACAAAACCCAAGCAATGGCTCGATTGGCTTGTTGGCCATTGTCAGCCACCCCCTGATCTACTAGTATTGCTCTCTGAAGGGCATAGGGGGCAGGCCTAGGACACAACTCTGCCGTCATAGTGCAAAGGCATTCATAGACAACACGTAAAGGAATGCGCGTGGCTCTGTTGCAAACAACTTTTATTTAGGAAAAACAACAAAAATCCCCCGAGCAATGGCTCAGTTGGCTTAGCCACCCCCTGATCTACTAGTATTGCTCTCTGAAGGGCATAGGGGGCAGGCCTAGGACACATCCCTGGAGACCATCAACATTGAGACCACCCAAGAGACTGAATGAGAATAACCAAAAATGTGGGCGGGGACGTTAGTTCCCACTGCTGAGTCAAACTGTCTCTTAAAAGTACAAATTCAAATTTATTTTGTAAATTTCTCCAGGTGATAGCTCCTCGGGATTTTTTTTTTTTTTATGGTTCTGCTGAGAGTCACCTGGAAATCCACTGGTGTGTCAATCCTCAGAGCAGGCCAGTGACGGTGCAGAGATGTACAGGGTACTAAAGCATACATGTGTCGGGCCATCTGTGATACGTACTGAGCAAACGATTCCTTTTTATTTTTTATTTTTTTGCCCTTGGGGGACTTGCAGGAACCACTGGCGTGGCTTTTGTCTCCTTTGCGGGTATGGAGTCTGTGATCGATGAGAGCTTCTTCCAAGACCCTCAGACCCCCTTGACCAACTCCAAGAGGAAGCTGAAGATGAATTCTCGCATCATAGGGGGCATCATGACGGGGGAGAAGAAAGATGGGTTCTCTGACCCAGTCATCTACACCCTGGAGAACATCGAGGTTTGTGAAGAGGTCCTCACTGGGGCCCCACCTACCCATTGACAGGCTTGACTCTCATTTCTCATTGGAACCCAATGACTAGCAACGCCAGCCCATTCTCGAAGAATGAGCCCTTCTAACTTCTTTTTGTTTCTAAATCTTCACCGGAGGATTTTAGAGAAAGAGGAAATGGGAGAAAGAGAGAGAGAGATAAAGGTGAGAGAGGAATATCAATCAGTTGCCTCCCATAACATGCCCTGACCAGGGATCAAACCCAAAACTTAGGTATGTGCCCCGACCAGGAATCGAACCCGAAACCTTTTAGTGTGCAGGATGATGCTCCAATCAACTGAGCCGCCAGGCCAGGGCAGAGCTCTTCTCTTTCTATGAGGTGTTCTTCCTTTCCTCAACGAGTGACATTTAGTTCAGATGATGTAACATTGACGCAAGAACATACACGTGGACTTTATTTACATTAGCTATGACCAAGCCAGAGGTAGAGACAGGTCTGGCACCCAAGACATTGCTTTTCATCACTGCACTTTGAAATATCAGCATTCCCTACATAACATCCCTGCATCTTCTTGCCCCAAATGACTCTTAAGTGATCACATTGAATCCATTCAAGAGGGGCTCTCAGGTGACCAAGAACCTTTGCATTTTCAGCCAAAGCAGAAGTTTGAGAGGCCCATCTGTGTTTCCTGGAGCACAGACGTGGGGAGCGGTAGGTGGACACCATCTGGCTGTGTGGTCCTTGAAGCTTCAGAGATGTATACCGTCTGCAGCTGTAATCGACTGGCGAACCTGGCCATCATCATGGCTTCCGGGGAGCTCACGGTCAGTGCTGACACTTGGTGCTCTGGTTCCCTGCTCCTGATTGGGAAACATTGACTAAGCATCTGTGTGTGCCCCTCATGGTGTGTGTTATGTGAGTGAGTCGTGGGGACAGAGGGAATTCGTGGTCTGCTTGGGAAGCCATGACATTCATATATCAAATGAGAAATGACCCTAAATAGGTGCAGGCACAATACCAATCACAGATTCCATTTAATGAGCACCTACTATGTACTGGACCCTTTGTTTTAACTTGTTAGTTTTAGACCCATTTTATAGGATGGGAGACTGAGGCTCAGTAGTCTGCCTAGTCATGAAGCTTGTAATTGGTAGAGGTGGGATTTGAACTCAGGACAATTTGGATCCAGAGGTCTCTTTCCACTAAATTATGCAAATGGTGTAAGAGGCTGTGGGACTTCAGATGTATCAGTGAGAGCTGGTGATCGATCAGGAAGGAAATAGAGTATGTAATGAGACTTGGTGAATGGGTAGATTTGATACAGAGGAAAGACAACCTCCTTAGTGCTGTGGTGAGTATCCTTGCCTATCATGCCAGATCTGAGGTTCAATTTTCTGCCAGGAGGGCCTTGAATGCTATTTAGAGAAATATAATGCATAGGACTTAAGAGAATCAGATCCCAAGCAAGACAGACCTAGTTTTAAGTCCTGTCTGTATCACGTCCTGGCTGTGTTTCCTTGGGCAAATCACTTAGCCTCTCTGAGCCTGAACCCAGTTCTTTCATCTCAAAATTGAGAATAAGAAAAAAATGATGACAGCTAACACTTCCACAGCACGTCATATGCTTGTGGCACAGTTGTGAGTAATTGCAGTATTTTCACTGAATGCTTCTAAAATCTTAAAGCAATCCTATAAGGCAGTGGTCGGCAAACTGCGGCGCGCGAGCCACATGCGGCTCTTTGGCCCCTTGAGTTGGCCACGAAGTTTCAATCGCACTGTACGTGCGTGCCCGCACGTGGTATTTTGTGGAAGAGCCACACTCAAGGGGCCGCAGTTTGCCGACCACTGCTATAAGGTACTTACTATTAGTATCCCCTTTTGAACAGATGAAGAAACTAAGGCACAGAGCAATTAAGTGTCTTGTTCAAGCTCATACAACTAGAAACCAGCAGAATTGTAGACCATTTTCTTAGCTACGGGGTCACCATGTTGTCAAGAGGAGCTCATGAGGTGGTGCCTGGCACACCGTTACACATCTTTGATACACAGAGGACACTCAAATAAGTTTAAAATTAGTCTAAAATGGTTGATGAATAATGGTTAATGGGAAGGACGCAGCTTGTCATTTCCACTCCCGGAAGCTGGCATCTCTGAACATGTATGCATCAGTCCTGGTTCAGTGCAGGAAGTAGGAACCCCTCTAGGTATTTCAAGCAGGAGGGGATTGAACACAGGGACCTGGGTGCTCCCCGGAAGGGATGGAGCAGTTGAAGTCAGGGAGCTGCCACTTGGATTTTGGCTTTGGGATCACCCCTCTGCCGCTGCAATCAGAAGATAAAAATGGCTGCTGTCAGGCCGCCCCATCCATTGGAATTAAAAACTGGACAGTTGGAATGTGGTGTCCAGCCACAGCTCACTCCTGACTGCAGAAAGCTTGTATCTGTCTTCGCAGACTTCCATGCAGGCATCGCATGGGAGAACCTGATTGACATCCAGGACTTTAGCCCCAAGAGATTCTGGGAAGTGTAGTTTGTAGACAACCTGCCCTAGTAATATGTGGGTGGGGTATGGGACAGGGTGGGAATGGGTGCTGATGGATGCTTATAGATGCCAAAGAATGACGATGGACAATAGCTAGTTTACTCTGATGTCAGAGGAAGAAAAGTTCCCCAAGCTCTTTCTGCCCAAGTCAGGAGTCTGTATCATTCCTTTTCCTGCCCAGGAGCATGTTTCTCTGTTTGAGTGGGGTATCTTTTTCCTGACAGATGGACTTCTCCTTGTACGTCATTAGCCTCATGGGCATGATCATCTCCCTGGTGTGTCTCCTCTTGGCCATCGCCACTTTCCTGCTGTGTCGTGCCATCCGCAACCGCAACACCTACCTCCACCTGCACCTCTGCGTGTGCCTCTTCTTGGCCAAGTTTCTCTTCCTCACCGGTGTAGACAAGACCAACAACCAGGTCTCATATCCCTCAGGCTGGGCCCCCCCTCCAGCCCCATGATCTCCGCATCTGCCTCTGCTCATCCATACCCAACTCCCTCTATAGTAGTTCCTGCCTCAGGACCTTTGCACATGCTATGCCCTCTTCATAGTACTCATCCTCCAGTACCTCATCTGGTTGACTCCTTCTTATAATTGGTCTCAGTTTAAAATCATCTCCCTGACCATATTATATATTGTGGCGGACGGTCCCTCCTCTTACTCTTTAAACCATCGGTTCTCGCCTGGGATGATTCTGCCCCCTTGGAGGACACTTAGCACTATCTGGAGACATTATTGGCTGTCACCACTGAGAGAGGGTACCGCTGGCATCTCGTGGGCTGAGGCCAGGGAGGCTGCCACGCACAGGACAGCGCCCCCCAAGACAGAAAATAACCTGGCAACAGCATTACAGCTGTCAATACGGCTACAGCTGGGAAACTCAGCTTACCACTCCATGTTGCATTCCTTCCCAGCTCTTACTTGAAACCATATTGATTATTTATCATTTTATTGTGTATCTACTTTTGCCAGTAGACTGTGTGCCCTGTGAGAGCAAGAACTTGGGCCCGTTGACCCCCAGAACTGTGCCCGAAACAAAGGAGGCTCTCGGAGTTTTCCCCAAAGCAGCACTATGGACCATTCTTTGTGCAGAGCTACCCCTCTCCCTGCGGGATGTTTGGCTGCCCAGTCCCTTCGGGAACTAAATGCTGGTAGTTGCACCCCACTCCCATCATGAGGCCAGCATTGGGCAAGCTTCTATAAAGACCCAGATAGGATACAGTCGGCCTTACAGATCCTACAATTTCTGCTGCAACTACTCAAATCTGCTGTTTTGGTCTGAAAACAGCCACAGAGGATACATACATGGGTGTGGCTGTGTGCCCATGAAACGTTATTTATAAAACAGGCAGCCAGTCCAGTGGCTGCAGTTCGTGAACCTCCCCCCCCCCACCCCCATATCTTTAGTCATTCCCTAAAGTAGGGTGATCATCTACCCATTTTTACCCCAAATGCTCCCAGGGTTAGCCTCGACAGTCACATGTCCTGGGAAAACTCAGTCCCAGGCAAACCAGGATGAGTGGTCACCCTCCCGCAGGGAGGGCACAGCCCATGATGGAGACTCATAAATATTTGTGGAATGAATGAATGAAGGAATGAATGAATGAGTCATGTTTGGGGAATGCCCGTAAAGTGGTCCCTCTCCTGCCCTCGTCCTCTGAACCCGGCCCTTGGGAGGGGCGGGGAGTCCTGAGAGCACACGCTTCTCCTCTCAGATAGGCTGCGCCATCATCGCGGGCTTCCTGCACTACCTTTTCCTCGCCTGCTTCTTCTGGATGCTGGTGGAGGCCGTGATGCTGTTCCTCATGGTCAGGAACCTGAAGGTGGTGAATTACTTCAACTCCCGCAATGTCAAGATGCAGTATCTCTGTGCCTTTGGCTACGGGCTCCCAGGGCTGGTGGTGGTTGTCTCGGCCAGCGTGCAGCCGCAGGGCTACGGGATGCATAATCGGTAAGTGGCATCCCCCCCCTCCCTGAAGGCCCTGCTGCCAGGGTTCATGGTGATAATGACATGAACCACAAGAAGAGCAAGGACATGATCAGGAGCATGGCTACTGTTCAGTGCACTTTTTGTACAGCGATGCTCTCTGGTTGCCGTGTACAGCAGCACAGGTTGCGCAGGCACGAATCCAGGAGCTCCTGTTAGCGCTGGAGTCTAGGTAAATGGCGGTGATGTGAACAGTGGACTTGACTGTACAGTTTTGTTTTAATTCTAACCTGAGGATATTTTTTTAAATTGATTTTAGAGAGAGAGGAAGAGGGTGGGGGAGAGAGAGAGAGAGAAACATTGATGTGAGAGAGAGAGAGAGAGCAATCAATTACCTCCCATACACGCCCCGACCAGGGATCGAACCCACAAGCTAGGGATGTGTCCTGACCTGGGATCGAACCTGCAGCCTTTTGGTGTATGGGATGATGCTCCAACCAACAGAGCCACCGATCAGGGCGTGGTTGTACAGTTTTAAAATCATGGACTCTGGAGCCAACCTTCTTGGGTTTGAGTTTTGGCTCCACTGCCTCCTAGTGGTGCCTCCATGTCCTCACCTGTACAGTGGGGGCGAATAGCAGTGCTGACATCATGGTGCTGCTGCGAGGGTTAAATGAGTTATTATCTGCAAAACACCTAATACAGGGTCTGGCACAGAGTCAAGCATTATTCATGTCGCGGTTAGCATCACTGTTATGATATTGTCTGTTTTAAGTGAGGTGTGTTTGCCACGTTTCTATGCGAGATCATTTTAGGCAGTATGCTGGTAAGTACTCCTTTTAAATAGTATTTATTTTGTAGGTAATTAGGAAAAAAAATGGCCAGAATACCAAACTCATGATTTCACAGACACAATTTGTGTAAGTAAAAGACGGAGTCCACTTTGAGGAAAAAAATCAGGTGAATTCTAGGACAAGGCGTAGGTGGACAGGGCAGAGACGGTAACTCGCCGTGTTATTTCCTTTAGTTCTCCGACAGGCCCTGGGCAGTGCTGCTCCTTTAATTTACAGACGAGGACATGCACTCAGAAAACCTTCCCCCCCAGGACAGTGAGAGGGGGGCATGTGAGGACCTGGATCTGGGTCTTTCCAATCCCAGGGTCTCTGCTTATCATCCCATGCTGTAGGCGCTCTGCTGAGCAGTGTTTGGGGGGTTCAGTGATCCGGGTTTCCTCCCTGCCTGGTTTCTACTTCAGGTGAGGTAATAGGAAAAGGTGTGAGGAAAAGGAATTCGTACTCAGTGAGCACCCATCATAGCCTAAACCCCATCAGCTTTGCTACCCTATTACCTCTGGTGCTTCCCAACAAACATCCCGTGTTAAATCTAAGCGTCTCCATCATGTACAGGATACATCGTACCTGTGCTGCTGTGCATGGCAGCCCGAGACCACACACACATAGAGTAACAGCTTAATAAGTGTCAAGATGCAGTATCTCTGTGCCTTTGGCTACGGGCTCCCAGGGCTGGTGGTGGTTGTCTCGGCCAGCGTGCAGCCGCAGGGCTACGGGATGCATAATCGGTAAGTGGCATCCCCCCCCTCCCTGAAGGCCCTGCTGCCAGGGTTCATGGTGATAATGACATGAACCACAAGAAGAGCAAGGACATGATCAGGAGCATGGCTACTGTTCAGTGCACTTTTTGTACAGCGATGCTCTCTGGTTGCCGTGTACAGCAGCACAGGTTGCGCAGGCACGAATCCAGGAGCTCCTGTTAGCGCTGGAGTCTAGGTAAATGGCAGTGATGTGAACAGTGGACTTGACTGTACAGTTTTGTTTTAATTCTAACCTGAGGATATTTTTTTTAATTGATTTTAGAGAGAAAGGAAAAGGGCAAGAGAGAGAGAGAGAGAGAGAGAGAGAGAGAGAGAGAGAGAGAGAGAAACATTGATGTGAGAGAGAAATAGCAATCAATTGCCTCCCATACACGCCCTGACCAGGGATCGAACCCACAAGCTAGGGATGTGCCCTGACCTGGAATCGAACCTGCAGCCTTTTGGTGTATGGGATGATGCTCCAACCAACGGAGCCACCCAGTCAGGGCGTGGTTGTACAGTTTTAAAATCATGGACTCTGCCAAGCTTCTTCTTGGGTTTGAGTTTTGGCTCCACTGCCTCCTAGTGGTGCCTCCATGTCCTCACCTGTACAGTGGGGGCGAATAGCAGTGCTGACATCATGGTGCTGCTGCGAGGGTTAAACGAGTTATTATCTGCAAAACACCTAATACAGGGTCTGGCACAGAGTCAAGCATTATTCATGTCACGGTTAGCATCACTGTTACGATGGTGTCTGTTTTAACTGAGGTGTGTTTACCACATTTCTATGCGAGGTCATTTTAGGCAGGATGCTGGTAAGTACTCATTTTAAAAAGTATTTATTTTGTAGGTAATTAGAAAAAAAATGGCCAGAATACCAAACTCATGATTTCACAGACACGATTTGTGTAAGTAAAAGACTGAGTCCACTTTGAGGAAAAAATCAGGTGAATTCTAGGACAAGGCGTAGGTGGACAGGGCAGAGATGGTAACTCGCCGTGTTATTCCCTTTAGTTCTCCGACAGGCCCTGGGCAGTGCTGCTCCTTTAATTTACAGACGAGGACATGCACTCAGAAAACCTTCCCCCCCAGGACAGTGAGAGGGGGGCATGTGAGGACCTGGATCTGGGTCTTTCCAATCCCGGGGTCTCTGCTTATCACCCCGTGCTGTAGGCGCTCTGCTGAGCCGTGTTTGGGGGGTTCAGTGATCCGGGTTTCCTCCCTGCCTGGTTTCTACTTCAGGTGAGGTCATAGGATAAGGGGTGAGGAAAAGGAATTCATACTCAGTGAGCACCCATCATAGCCTAAACCCTATCAGCTTTACGATTCTATTACCTCTGGTGCTTCCCAACAAACATCCCGTGTTAAATCTAAGCGTCTCCATCATGTACAGGATACATCGTACCTGTGCTGCTGTGCATGGCAGCCCGAGACCACACACACATAGAGTAACAGCTTAATAAGTGATAGCTGCAGAGGAAAGCGGGGCTCAGGACAGTTGCAGAAATTGCCCGGGTCACATAACTAGGAAGTGTCCAAGCTGAGTGCAGGCCTGACTGTTCTGTCAGGAGATGGTGACCATGCAAGGCTGCCAGGAGGAAGTGCCTCCTGCTGGTGGAGGTAGGATAAGCCCCGGCACAGACCAGAGGCTGATGGCATCTGAAAGCTGGAAAGTTCAGGGAAGGCTTCCTGGAGGAGGCAGGATCTGGGTCTTAAAAGCTCCGCTGGAAGGTACGCAGCAAAGAGGAAAGGGGGTAGCAACATGGATGAGGACGAAAGTTTGCCCACGGGGGAGAGCTTGAGGTGTGTTTGAAGAACAGGTGGACTGGGCTGGGAGAAGGCTGGGGGAGACTGGGGTGGGCATGGAATTTGGACAACACCTGTAGGTGGTCTGGGAAAGTTTGGGGAAGGAAGGAGTCATTGACAAGGATTTGAGATGATCTCAGGAAGCACTAGGAAGGGGGTGGGGAAGTGAGACCGGGAGGAGAAGGAGCGCACACAGAGTGAATTCAGGAGCAGGTCCTGCTGTGGGTCACCGGGTTTAATACCAAAGGTACCAAGAGGAGACCATGCAGGGTGTGCACCACCGTTATCCCACCCGAGGGTGAGGGAGGTGGCATATTTACCCACCAACTCCCTCCCATCAGCCGTTGGTTGGGGGCTGCTCCCAGGAGAACAGCCTCCAGCGCTTTTAGTCTGATGCCCTGAGGCCGGCAGGCAGAGAAGCAGCACCAATAGGGAAATAGCCAGTATTTGCGTAAGTGGTCGTTCCTGACAGGGTGTGGACGGCCTCTTCTCAGGTTGCAAACATTTTCCTGCCTTTATTATTCTGCTACTGGAGACTCAGTGCCAGGAAAGACCATGTGGCTGTGAAACTTGACTACCAGGGCGGTAGAGCTCTATTGTTTGAGGAGACCAAGTTTAGAGCCATAGAAAACCTGCCCTCTAACAAAGTCCCGTGTCCTATCATAGGTTGGCATTTTGTTAAGATTCCTATGACCACATAACCCTTTTTTTAGTTCCCTGCTTTTGGAGGAGACCAAGTTTAGAGCCATAGAAAACCTGCCCTCCAACAAAGTGCCCGTGTCCTATCACTAGGTTGGCGTTTTGTTAAGATTCCTGTGGCCACATAACCCTTTTTTTAGTTCCCTGCTTTTCTTACTTTACAACCCATGAAGACAAAGAACATGAAGTCAAGAAAAAGCAGTCTGGGACAAACACCACACTTGTTTTTCTCATAGAGATGTTGTTGTTGTTGTTTTTTCATAAGAGCAGGAGAGAGCAAGCATATTCCCTTCCTCTACTACTTAAGTGCAATTCTCACTGGAATCTCCAAGAAGGACATTAAAAACCTCAGCCAGAATCAAATAAAACCATGCACAGTTTTTACATATAGATAATAATTTTGAATGATGGATGTTTTTGTTCCAGAAAGAATCTGTCCATCTCCTCATAGCCCGGGCCATACCTTCGTAAATGTGCTTATTTTGTTCCAGAAAGAATCTGTCCATCTCCTCATAGCCTGGGCCATACCTTCGTAAATGCGCTTATAAAGAGCAGCATAATCCGCCACAGAAAGCCAAGCTATTCCTCTGTACTATTAAACTCAACAGAGAACTCCATACGCAGCCACGGGAGGCATAAGCAATTATCTCGGAAAATGGAAAGGTTTCGAATCTTTGCGTGACCTCTACCGGTCCACACAGTTGTCCGTTCACTGCACGCAGTTATACAGTGACCAGTTCATAGCAGGAAAAGCCATACACATATTTAGTAAGGCCAACCTTGCATTCATCAAAAGCTACTTGGCACTCCCCAGGCTTTCTGTGAAGAGTTAGCTTTGCAGAGCACAGGGAGATGAAAGAGCAAAGGAGACCGTCCGTCCCCACTTTGTCCAAGACTAAAGCCAGTCAACCACCAAAACTGCTGAGGATGCGACAGTCTCACATCCTCCAATCTCTCTGTAGAGTTTCAAAAGGAAAGATCAATTTAATTGAATGACTGTGTTTGTGCTATTGCTAGGGGGAAAGGGAGACAGGCGTATCACTGCTAATTGACCATTCAGAGGAAATCATAAAACAATTATAGCTACTATGGAGTAATTCAGGAGATCGAAGGAAGTGATTAAAAGGGCTTTATCTAATAGAAGTATATTATAAACTCTGATTCCCTAATTATCTGTCATACCCCATATGGATCACTGTGAACAAAATGGAATGTTCTCTTACAGCTCATACAACCCCAAGTAACCTGAAAGTCTTATATTTGCCAGTGGTCATAGCAGTCAATTGCCTAAATAGGCCAGATTTCCCTGGATTCCAGGAACTAGACTGCCCGTCATTACAGCACAGGATGCAATCCAACATATGCATGTGGTATACACACTGGAAGTGGGTGGGTTTTGGAAATCCAGCATACATTTGGAGTATCATGTCAGTATGTTTCCGGAGAATGTGTAGATGTCATTTGTAAACCAGAAAAGCGTAGTATGCTCTCATGTTGTAACGCGTGGTTTATGTTTTGACTGTGGAGGTGCATATTTAATAAAGACAGCATAGAGATAAAAGATTTCTATATATTATGAAATGATTACCACAGTAATCTAGTTAACACCCATCCCCTCACACAGTTACACACTTTTTACTTGTGAGGAGAACTTTTAACAGGTACTTTTCTAGCAACTTTAAAATAGACAACATTATGAACTACAGTCACCATGCTATACACTACATCCCAGGACTAGTTAATTTTATAACTGAAAGCTTGCCTCTTTTGACCTCCTTCACCCATTTCTCCTATCCCCACCCTCTGGCAACCATCTACTGTTCTCTGTATCTGTGAGCTTGTTTTTTCCCCCTTAAGATTCCACATATAAGTGACGTCATTAATCTTTCTCTGACTGACTTATCTCACTTAATATAATGCCCTCAGGTTTCATCTCTTGTTTTTTCCCCCTTAAGATTCCACATATAAGTGACATCATTCATCTTTCTCTGACTTATCTCACTTAGTATAATGCCCTCAGGTTTCATCCGTGTTGCTGCAAATGGCAAGATCCTTTCCTTCAACAAATAGTTATGGAATGCCGTGTCCATAGCAGCTCTGGGTATTCAGAGATGAACAAACATTCAAGGTCTAACTTCTCAAGCAGCTCATGGTCTAGTAGGGGAAGACGGGCAATTGGCCAGTCAACAAGCTGAACATGATCTTATGATCCAAATACTAGTAGATGCCATAAAAAAAGGCAGCAAGCTTTGCCAGAGCGGGACCAGGAGTAGGGACAGTGTACTTAGTAAGGAATAGTCAGGAGTGGCTTCTCAGAGGAGGTGATGTTTGAGCTGACATTTGAATGACAAGGTGCGCCATGGAGAGTCCTGAAAAGAGGGGAAAGGGATGACAAAGGTTACGCAATGAGAATGGCCTCTCCCCACGGCACGAGGTGAACATTTCAGGAACATTTAGTCAGGAAGAAGGTCAGAAAGAGGACTTGCTAGAGTCCAAAGAAAACTGAAATGCCACCTGCCCCATCATGAGATACTTTTTAATCTCCGTCTCACCTCCCAATTTTCTGCACTCGGCGGGGCTGGAGTAATTAACTTGAAGGGCAAGACTGACGAAAGCACTGATTCCTCCTCCTGTTTCTCTCCACAGCTGCTGGTTGAATACCGAGACAGGGTTTATCTGGAGTTTCCTGGGGCCGGTTTGCACAATCATACTGGTAAGCAAATTGCTTGGTGCTGTGGGTTCTGGAGGAGGGACCTGAACCGAGGGGCCAGTGGAGGTTGCAGAGCTGAGGTCACGTGCTTGGTGCTGTGGGTTCTGGAGGAGGGACCTGAACCAAGGGGTCAGGGAGTGCCAGTGGAGGTTGCAGAGCTGAGGTCACATATTCCTCTCCCTTCTGATCCTTGATTCTTGAGATTTCCAAGTTGGAATGTAATATCTTCGACTCGTGATTTCTTTTTTTTTTAATGCAGCATGCCAATCCCCTGGGAGGGACCACAGTCTTCTTTGTCCTTTGCGTTTCAGTAAAATGGGTCTCTTAATCTCTTCTGAGCACAGGTGTTGAATGAAAGAAAAGGTCGAAGGTTTTTCTCAGCTTTATTGAAGTATAATTGGCATAAAAACTATAAGTTTACGGTGAACAACTTGAAATTTTGACTTATGTATATCTTGTAAAATGATCACCTCCATCAAGGTAATTAACATTTCTATCACCTCACATAGTTACCATTTTTTCCCTTTTTTAAGTTAAATTTGTTGCCCTCACATTGGTTGTTCTATATGTAAATTTCAGGTGTATTATTATAACCTGACATTTGGTGTACTCTATTGCATGCTCACCACCAAAAGTCTAGTTTCTTTTCATTACCATGGATTTGTCCCCCTTTACCCAATTTGCTCTCCCTCCCACCCTTCTTACCCTCTGGTAACTACCGTTCTGTTATCATAGAGTTTGTTTTTGTTTTGTTTTGCTGGTTGGTTACTCTTGTTTTATGTTCTACCTACTAGAGGCCCAATGCACAAAATTCATGCAAGTGGCTCAGCCCTTGCAGCCCCGGCTTCATCCGGAAGGTTGTCCGGATGGTTGTTCTACTGTTTGATCTAATTAGCATATTAGCTCTTTATTATATAGGATGAGTAAAATCATAGGCATTTGTTCTTTTCCACGTGACTTATTTCATTAGCCTAATAACCCTCAAGATCTACCCATGTTGTTGAAAATAGCAGGTAAGAACATTTAAGACCTACCCTTTCAGTAAATTCTAGGAATATAACACAATATTGTTAACTATAGTCACCATGCTGTAGATTAGATCTGGGCAATTCCTCACCTTGCATCAGTGAAACTTTGTAACCTTAGCCCAACACCCCCCTCCCCCACAATTTCCTTCCCCACATCCCCGGCAATCCTGCAATCCCGGGATCCGAGGGAGGCTGAGCAACAACCATCTCTTGCCTCCTTGACTCCACCCGGATTCTACAGTCTTACAAGATGATCTTTCTCACTCCTGGTGGCTTGTTTCCTTGTGTCACTTGTCATTGTTAGTTATGAGCTCATATTTGACCAGTCTCAATCTTGGGAATTCTTGTAGCTGTATTCCTCCAGAGCAGTGGTCGGCAAACTACAAAATACCACGTGCGGGCGCGCACGTACAGTGCGATTGAAACTTCGTGGCCCATGCACAGAAGTTGGTATTTTGTGGAAGAGCCACACTCAAGGGGCCAAAGAGCTGCATG